CCCCCCCTGGATACGTCCCTGCTTTTGCTGCATATGGGACCCCATACAAATCTATTAACACTGATTTATACAAGCAGGGCATCTCCTCAGCATTAGAAAAACACTTCCACTCGATAAATTTGTTGACTGACTCTTTTCCAATACATTTTAGATGAACATGCACGTCTTAAAGCACATTCTGTCTCGCCATAACCAGTGGTATAACGACGATATTCATTCTCAGAAGAAGATATATCAAATGCTTGAACGTCAGTTCAAAAAGTTCAAAAGAAACTGATTGTGTTATAGACATAATAACCAACCTGCTCTTCCTTAAGAGACAAATTTTGATAAACCTACCGAAAGGGGAAAATTACAAAATCCTACAAAAAATGCATAAGGATATAATTACACTGTGTATATCAATAATGATGTAAAGTAAGGATGTACAGTCTGTCTCGGTCAGAGCAGTCTTTACGATTAAAGACGGTCACCATGTGCTGCACTTAAAAAAAACTGCACCACCAATCGTCAGCCCTACAATGGAATAAATCTCTCATCATCACTAGTCATAAGTTTGTCTAGCCTGCCCTAAGCTGGCAAGAAGGTAGATCTACTACTATGCCCAATCGTCTGTCACTGTCAGCACTAGGAATCTCTCTCTCTCTGTTCGCCAATGTCTTGACATATATCTTTTTCTCAGGCTCCTACTCTAATTTTGGTTTTCTTCAATTCTTTTGTTTTTGTTTCAACATCCAAAAAAAATATCCCCAGCCTATAGATAATTCATCAGCCATGGTGTTTTGGCTTTTCGTGTTTCTTTCCCGATCCTTCGTTCGCGGCGGTCTTGGTTCAATGACATCATAATTTACATTAGCCAATCAGAACAATAGACGGGCATTATATTGATGTTGGCATATTTGCCAGTGCCAGCATAATAAAAACTGCCTAAAAGCATACTAAATATGGACTCTAATCTTTACTTCAATATATCAAATTAATATCCTGTCTCTGGTAAAAAACTCTGATCATAATTGACTGAGACGACTTCCACTTTTACATATATGAATTTTGTCAAAATATTAGAAGAGAGCTTCCTACTATGGCTGAACAATAAACCAGCAATAAACAGATTTCAGTGTATTAAAAATATCAGGTCAAATTCAAATCACAAATAAGTCAGTATTTGTGCCTTGAACTTTGACTTTATATCCAGAATACATTGAAATCTGTCTATTTTTTAAAAATCAGTTAACATAAGGAGTTAAGAAAGAGTTTAAACTTTCTACTTACATTGATGATACAGTATGTATATCTGTGTACTGGTATAAATTTCATAATTAATATTAAGTGTCCACAGGGTCATCCGGTCGGTCGAAGTAGTGGGTATTTGTAGGGTCAATGGCCATGCAACCATGTTCGGGACCCCATCATACCTTCATTATTGCTCTAATTACAGAACCTTGCAAAATTTTATATATGTAGTAGTATAAGAATATTCATCACAGGTTTTCCTTACTTAAAAGAATGATAAGATACAGCCTCTGAAAAGGCGAAAATCTATTTTCACACAATGCTTCGGGGGATTTCGGGTGCATATAACATTCTAATAAAATATGCTACCCAAATTTGAATGGTACTTCTGGAGAGAGGGTCCAAATTTCAGTCATGTAGAAATTTTCAACTTTATATCTTCGTTTTTTCCAGAGATATAGCTTCATAAAACCGTATGATGTTAAAGGAGCCATTTCTGGCATAAAAAAGGGGGCGTGGTACCTACATTTTAAAAGGTCAAACTTAAAAACTGCTTGGAAATTGGAACTGAAACTTTGGATTCTTTCTTTTGACATAAAGGTATTTTTAGAATTTTTTTGAAAGGAAAATCCAAGAGGGGTCACATGGGAACCTTTAAATTTCTGGCTGATTTGAGCTGGAATGACCCAGTAGGCCTATATTCCTTAGATAACATTAAATATAAAAACTCTTAAATTATGCTTACCTCATATACTTACATCATGGGAATTACATGAACATTACTCACAATGTCATATTTTAATTGGCCACCTTGAGTTCCAGTTTTACACCTAATTTCTGAAATAATCTTTAAACTTCCAGTCACCTTTCAACCTTAAAGGCTGTTTAACAATTAGCATCCCCAAGACAGATTCATTGGGTACACATTTATGATTTGACTTTCTTATTAAACCACTTTCAGTCTACAATCCTCATGCACAAATTATACTGTATATTACATTTCAGAATAAAAATTTGAAACTTTTTGAAAGAATAGTACAGTTACAGATAAATTTATACACATTTGATCAACCATGATGACTTTTAGACAGTGCCATATCTAGGGGGCACATGCCCGCCAAAAAAGAAAAAAAAACCCTAAAAACTTGCACCTTCCTAGTCATCCCACCATTGAAAATTTTTGAATAAAATAAATCATGCTCAGGTAGATAAAAATAACCTCTTATCACCTTATTTTACGACCTGGTCCCCCCTCACAAATCATCAATTCATAACCTTCTCTACTGCACCTTCATGCCCCCATTAGCCCAACATCTCAACTCATAGATGTACCACTGTATTTAGAGAGTTTATAATTATTACCAGCAGTTACTCTATAGTTTATATATGCAATCATTTTAATAAGCTATAACAATGATTATGTACAATCGCTACCTCATCACATGTTATGGTACAGTAACTCCTTTCCTCTGACTAAACTGTATCGTCATTAAAAGCTGTGATCAGTTTAAATTCATTATTAGCTCTGTCCAGACTATCAAATTTTCATTGACAAAAAAACTACTGTATGCCCATATAGTCATGATGTGCCTATACATGGTAATAATATGTCATCATGACCATAGTTAGGCATGTCACATCATTTTTCATTTCATTTATTTTGTCTCAATAAAATACATAAAAAACAACAACCGGTTACAATACAACAAAATAAAAGCATAAAAAATCTGAAACAGGCCGAGACAGGATTCCTAAAAGTGAAGCAAATCACTATCATGTAGGTCTCCTAATGCACTATTCCGATTACACATAGAATAATAATGAGCAATTGAAATAATACTTAAAATCTGTAAAATTTGCCTTAACAATAAATAAAAATTTTCGTAAAAAAAAAAAAAAATGATAGTCTGGACAGGGATTTAAAGTATTGTATTATTTTATCCACTCAGAGTATTCTGGTATGTATTTATAATACTGTATTGAGTGAACAACTTCACTACACCTGATGGAATTCCATCAATTGGGGTGAAAGCTAAGTGTTGAAATATATTGATAGTCGAAAAAGTACATGTATTTCTTTAATTTCTAGGTTATTTATGGTACTATAAACCACCATGCTATAGCTTACTACTCTCAAATAATACTCCATTAAATGCAAGGAGGAAGTTGTTTGTGGGATAGCATGCTACCAATGAAGTGATAGATGGGGGAACCAAACACACTTTCCACCCATTCCACATTCTTTCTCCTCCCTTCCTCATTTCCCTTCATATTCTCGGGAGTAGCTCCTACAAGCCGAAAATGCTGCAACAAATATCAATCATTTTCTTTTGCTTTCAGTTGTAATTGCCAAACGTCTTTTATGTACCAAGTATTAAAGTAACAATCAGATTTATTCACAGAATTATTCATCCTGGGTTTTTTTTAAAGCAAACATCCTGAGCTATATTCTTATGGGGACAAGACAAGTTTAAATTCTATCCTGTTGAAATAAATACCCTGTGCTCAGCTAGAAATATAGTGTGTAACCTTTTACTCAATGACTGCTAAAATACACAGACTGTGTGACTTTCATAGAACACATTTTTACCATTCAACTGAATGATTTCTTAAAAACTTTACATTATTTTTTTCCCTCAAATATTTAAACACTCAGGAAACACTGTGGTTTGTCTGCTTATAAAAGAGAAAGTTGATAGAAATAGGCAAAGTACAGTTACTGGAAATAGAATGAACTTTCATCTTATAGGGAATGCAACACTTACACAATACTGTATCTCTTAAACAGACGTAAAAGAATTCCAAGAAAATATTTTATAGACCACCTATATTCCCAATGCTATTTCAGGAGGAATTGGTGTAAATTGGTCATAACACCAGCAGACAACACTACAGTAGAACCATTATTGAGAGGACTCACTTGGGACCATAAAAATGACCCCTTTAAGGTGTCCTCCAATTCCAGTAGGACCAGCTGTCTCAAAAGTGTGGTTCTACAGTAGATTATGCAATACATGTTCTTTAACATGCAATGGGTTAAAAAATGCTTGGACAAAATGACATGTTACTTGGCAGGTAGAGAGGAAGGAGAGGAATCATCTAATACCCGATTCACACGTACAAAAATCTTACCAAATGTAACAAAATGTAACCAAAAGTAACATTTTACGGAACGTGTGAAAGTACCTCCGTGTAATATCCTTGTAAAATCTCGGAACGTCTCGGTAAT